TTCGCAAATCAATATTTTTTCACGGAAAAATAGATAAATATTCACGTTTTGGGAAGTATCGCTATGTGTTTCTGCCTTCAAAAATTATGAAACTAAAAATATTGTATATTTTATAATTAAATATCGTCAAAGACAGAGATATACCTACATCAAAACGCAGGAACCATTATGATATAAAATGTTAGAATAAAAGCATTCTTTGAAATTCTATGAAAATAATCTTTACTAAATTATTTTTTGGGCGACAAATAATTTTTAGGGACAGGAAAAAATCCGAAATTGCATATTTTTTTTTTATTCTTTTCAAAAATCTCTTATGGAAAATATTACTTTTGCAATTAAATTTTTCAAGGTTTTAGTTTTTAATGTAAAAAATCAACTTTTCTTGTCCCTGAAAATGATTTGTCGTGTAAAAATAATTTAGCAAAGATTATTTTCACGAAAAATTCTTTTATTCTGAAATAAATAAATAAACGAATGAAATAAATAAATAAATTACAAAATTACGAATTTTTATATTCTATTAGAACGATATGTATATTTGTTTCAATTAATTAAATCGAAAACGCAGGCGAAATATGCTGTTACGGCCGACTCTGCGGAGCTGTAATCGCTATGCATGATTTTTCGCTAGACTTGGGGAAAAAAATTCTTTTGTTTACAAACTGCCGAATCCGAATTTTGTAAGGTGGAGCTTAGGCGGTGTGCCGTCGTGGATAGGTGCAAGTTTTTCGCATCAGTTGTTAGTTTAGTAGCGGGGGTGACAATAGCGAAGGACTATAGTGGGAGATGTAGCATATTCTTTTGGAGACATAGGTCCGACGCTACAGGTCCGACGAACAGTTTTCAACAGTTCTTAAAGAGGCAAATATCTTGCAAGTATCAGGTCTCTGAGTATCATTTCTTCTCTGGTCTGTGATCGTTCTCAGATATACGTGTCTTCAGTAAATAGTGAAGATAGTAACGAGTGGCCAGAGTTACGAATTAACAGTAAGTTTTCTTTGCATATCATATTCAAAGTGGACTGGCACGTGCTTCATGTGAAAATCATCGACGGATTTAATCGACGGCTACTTGGTTCGTACCCCTCAATACTGATATACTGAGTTTGTGAATAAAAACTTGGCTTATAGAGGACGGGCGTAATTTTGAAACTTTTGAAATTGTTAATTTGAATTTTTAATATCAGAAAGAGTTCCAGCGCGCACTAGCAAACAATTGCCATTTGAATATGATATGATTTATATTATTTTATATATATTAAATTATATAATATATATAAGAATTTAAATTATAAAATTTTAATTACGCCAAGTAATGTTTTTGACATAATCCAAATTTATGACTCAACTGTGTAAGTTATACATTATTTTCATTTTTAAAGTGCAAGTAATATTTTTTTTTATATTTTATATATATATAAAAAAATCTTTTAAAAAGAGAAAAAGAGAGAAGTATTTTTTAATTATATATTATCTTTTTCTCCATTTCTATATACATTAATAATAAACTATTTTTAAAAAATTTTATTTTAAAACAATATACTAATTAATGCTCTTTAATTCAAATAAAGTATTACACATATAAAAAGCTAATAAAAGCAGAAGTAATATTATGGTTATAAAAACTAATTTGTTTTTAAAATAAAAATAATATTAAAATTTTTTATTTATTATCGATATATACAAAACAAGGATGATAACTATATATGTATATGTATATTCATATGCCAAATATTTTTCATCTACATTTTACAAAATGATATTTTATGTATAAATTATAAATAATTTATATCTGAGACATTTTGCTCTAAAATCAAAACTAAAAGAGTTATGTGGAGTGCACGTTTAAAATGACACATCCTGTATATATATATATATATATATATATATATATATATTAAATTTTTAACTTCTTGAATTTGGTAATTTAAACAAAAATTAACGAGATATCAAATGTTTAATGTTTTCAATCTTTGAAATTCTGAAATAAAACTATAAATTAAAATAAGTAAAAAATTATTATAAAAAATAAAAATAAAATAATATTTAAAAAATGGGTTCCTCCAGCGAAGATTTGGAAACATTACAATAAGATGTTGAAAATTTATTAAGTGATGAAGATAAATCTAAAGTCGAATCAATTGACAATGAGTAAGTAAATTACGTATTTAAAGGTTAAAAAATTTCATATGAAAATTATATATTTTTCTTAAATGTAGTTAAAGCAACAAAAATTGTGTATAATTTTATTATTTATTTAGCTAGAATGCATAAATGTATTCTCGATTCGTTTTAACTACTTGAATCAATGTGGTTACACGTTCTCATGAGTAATTTTTTTATAATTTTTGACATTACTTTTTTTGCGTTCTTTAACAATTATCGTCTAACATAATTCAATTATTTATCTACGATCATAATATTAAAAATTTTTATATGTCTTTTTATTAATGATTTATTTCTCTATTCATCTCTGAATTATTATTCTTAATCGTTTCTAACTTTTATAATTTATAAATTATTTAATGTCATATAATATTAAATTTCTTTTAAATAATTTTTTCTATAATTTAATAAAAATAAAACAATAAGTTTAATCATTTTTTTACAATAATAATATCATTACAATTATAATATAACAAAACATTTATTATACGCTGTAGAATTCTTACGAAAAGTAATTATATGGAAATACAAAGGGAACCACAAAGTATACACGAGGAAATTGAACAATTGATAAGTTCAGTCGAATTATTTACGCCAAGTAATGTTTTTGACACAATTCAAATGTATGACTCAACTGTGTAAGTTATACATTATTTTCATTTTTAAAAGTGCTAGTAATATTTTTTTTTATATTTTATATATTAAATAAAAGAAATCTTTTAAAAGAGAAAAAGAGAGAAGTATTTTTTAATTATATATTATCTTTTTTCTTCCATTTCTATATACATTAATAAATAATAAATTATTTTTAAAAAATTTTGTTTTAAAACAATATACTAATTAAATGCTTTTTAATTCAAATAAAGTATTACACACATATAAAAAGCTAATAAGAGTAGAAATAATATTACGGTTATAAAACTAATTTGTTTTAAATAATTTTTTTGTATGGACAGAGTTAATTTATAAAGATTTTATATAAAAAATAAATATATATATGTAATATATAATTAAATTTTAAATATATTTATTAAACATTTAATAAACATTTTTGTATAAAATATAATTACATAAAAAATTATTTTTTATATTTAAAATAAATAAACGTAGGAAACTAAAAAATAAAAACAAATAAAATAATAAATAATAAAATCTGATATTTATTGAATCACTTATTTATTTGGATGGTGTTCAGGCTAGGACCACAAACGTAGCCATTTTAATTTAATTTTGTAATTAAATTGTTGACAATAATAAAAAGCAAGTAAATTTTTTATTATTTGATTTCTTTTATTTCTTTTTTATTTTTTTAATCTTTTGGTATATTTTTTAGTGTATTTTATTTTTTCATAATAATATGTAATTAAGTTTAATATTTAAATATAATATTATATTAATATAATTTTTATTACAGAATACCGCAAAAAAAAGACTTACAATTTAAAATATGAGTTCTCGTTCAAGTACAAAATTCTTTATTCTTCCTTGTCTGAAGTAATCTCAATTTACCGTGCCCGGATGATGATGGATGTATCATGCGACTTGTTAACTAATTATCACATGAAAAATGAATAATTTAATTAAATAGGAATTTAGTATATTATATATATTATAATAATAATATAATATTTACAATAATATAATATTTATAATGTAATATATAATATAATTAATATAATATAAATATTTTACGTTCCATTAATATTTTATTTACTTAATATTTTAATTAATTGTTCACGAACGCGCTGCGAGAGAAAGGATCGCGCTGCACGAAAGGATGAGTCACTCTTTGTACTAAATTGACTTTAATATTATAAAACAATTAGAAAACGAACACTTTAACAAACTTTTACAATCTTAATTAATTTACAGAGAAACTCGAAATCAAATCAAAGTGCGGAATAAGCGGCGGTCGTCAACGAATTTTTGCGGTTTTACAAATCTGCGGTTGCGTTATGCGGTTCACGGCGGAAAAAGCGATAAGGCCCCGATTTCGGGTGCGAGCTCTCTTTTATGGGTTTCCGCAAAGAACCCACCTTCGTGTGAAGCGCCAATAATTTTGCGTCTTTTTAAAGTTGCGCGAGGTGACCTGAGCGTATTACGCGTAATTGGCCGCTGTCAAAATTGACAGAACAACGGTTGTTAGAAAGCATGCGCGAGCTGGAGATCACGATAATTATTGGCGAAACGAGGCGCCCGTGAGAAGCCGCGCATGCTCAATAAAATATAATTATTCGGCGGAACGGTTGCGACACCGTTAATTGTTTATATTTCGAGCGTGTTTTTGTACGACAGGATAATTTATGTCGCGATATGTTTTCCAGAAAAAAACATATAAAAAAACGATATGCCTGTTGACTTGCGATCGGAAGCGAATATTCTAGAATATTCCAATAATAAAATATAATATTTTATTACACAAGTAGTTTTCTATTATGCGTTTCAAACATTCCCGCCCGCCTTGTCGCGCAGTGACAACATATGGTGGGATTTCGGTCGCGGAATCGCAAGTCGATAGTGATCGATGGTGGGGCAGGCGCGCCGGCGCGGCGAGGTTCACGTGATGATCGCGTGTAAATTGAATCGATCAGCTGAGCCGCGAAAACACGTGGTGATCGCGTGGAATGTGATGATCAGCTGAGACAGTAACGAGTGTGTGTTTGATGTGTTGTGTAGTGCAGTGAGATGATGGAACAATTATCAGTGCGGTGATGGATCAAATGTAAGTGCGGTGATGGATGAAATGTAAGTGCGGTAATGAGATAAAAATGAGGAAAAAATGAGATGTGATGAGTGATACAGTGCGTGAGGTGAAAAGTGTCGCGAGATGAATTATGTGCCGGCGGACGATGTGTCCGCGTTAGTCATGCCAGGAATACGATCCGCGCCCGGAAGCATGACTAATTTAACGAGCGGGCGCACGAATTCGGATGTGGCGGTGCGGACCGAAACCACGCGGACGATACCGTCGTCCCCGGGATGCAGTCTCGTGATCCGTGCGAGAGGCCATCGGGTCGGAGGGGTGAGCTCCGAACGAATGAGACAGAGGTCTCCCACGTGAGGTGCGGCCTCGGACTTGACCCATTTGGTGCGGGGGTTGAGGCCGTGCACGTACTCCGCTGACCAACGCTGCCAAAAATGGTCTCGCATCAATTGGAGATGACGCCAGCGTGACAGTGTGGATGCTGGTTGACCAGTCGACGATGGCTCAGGTACGGCTAATAGTGGCGCCCCGATGAGGAAGTGGCCTGGTGTGAGCGCCGAAGTGTCGTCCGGATCGTCTGATAAAGCCTGCAACGGACGAGAATTAAGACACGCCTCGATTTGCGTGAGGAGTGTGCTAAGCTCCTCATATGTGAGGGTGGTTTCGCCGATTACTCGACGGAGGTGGAACTTTGTGGATTTTACGGCAGCCTCCCACAGACCACCGAAGTGAGGGGCCGCTGGCGGATTAAAGTGCCAGCGGATCCCTTGATTGTTGGCGGCGCGAGCGATGTGATGGCCCTCGGAAGATGACGCCTTGAAGAGCTCGCGCAGGGTGCGATCGGCGCCGACGAACGTCGTGCCGCAGTCGCTGTACACGTCCGTACACAGGCCTCTGCGGGAAACGAAGCGACGTAAGGCGGCGATGAAGGCCTCGGAACTGTAGTCCGAGACGACTTCGAGGTGGATAGCCTTAGACCAAAAGCATACGAAGACAGCTATGTATCCTCTCTGTGAGCGGTGTCCGCGCCCCTTGCTGGTCCGGATGAAGATGGGTCCCGCGTAGTCCAGGCCAGTGCTCAGGAATGGCCGAGTCGGCGTCACTCGGTCACGCGGAAGGTTGCCCATTGGAGGCTGTGGAGTGGCCGCTCGCCAGCGAGTGCAAGTGACGCACCGATGAAGTTGCTGCTTAATGACGGTCCTTCCTCGTGGCACCCAGAATCGATGACGAAGCAAGCCGAGAGTCATCTGGACGCCGCCGTGTAGAGACCGACGATGGCAGGACTCGATGAGCAGTCGCGTCATCCAGGAGGCCGGCGGAACGATCACCGGGTGCTTCTCGTCGTAAGGCAGCAGAGCGTGTTTGAGGCGCCCTCCTACGCGCAGTACACCTTGGTCGTCGAGGAATGGACTGAGTTTGATCAGTGAACTGCGTGGTGGACCGGGACGTCTCGCAGTGGCAGCGGCTATCTCGTCCGGGAAGTGGAGTGCCTGCACAATTCGAAGCCACTGAAGTAGGGCGGCGTCCAGCTCGTCAGGATGCAGCGGACGACCAAGTGTGACCTCTCGGCTCGCCACGTTGAGCCATCGACGACACCAGGCCGTAACGCGTAGCAGCCGATGAAGCGCAGAGAACCGAAGAAGGATGTCCGGTTCGACGACGACGGAGCCCTTGGTCATCAGGCTGGTGGTGCGCTGTTCAGGAAGGTCATCCTCTGCGATGTGGACCTCTGAGCTGGGCCATGCTGTCTCGTCCAGTGCCAACCAGGTAGGTCCCGTCCACCATAGCGTGTGATTGACTAGCTCTTCCGGATTAATTCCTCGTGATGCGCAATCTGCAGGATTGTCCTTCCCGGCCACGTGTCTCCACTGAGCGTCCGGGAGCTGAGTCTGGATGTGAGCCACCCGGTTGGCGACGAACGTTTTCCAGCGAGCGGCGTGTCCCTGGATCCAATGGAGAGTGACCTTGGAATCGGACCACAGGTGCACTGGAGTTGATGTCAAGCCGAGGGTGTTTCGGATATGCAACGTCAACGTGGTGAGTAGCACAGCAGCGCACAGTTCAAGGCGAGGCAACGAAACTGGCTTGACGGGCGCGACTTTGGATTTCCCCATGATTAAATTGATGGTGGTTTGTTTCGTTCCAGAGTTGCGGATGTAAACGGCGGCAGCATATCCTCGCTCTGATGCATCTGCGAAGCCGTGGATCTGCAACGTGGAGTAATCGCTGTCGGTGCTGAGCCAGCGATTCACCCGTATGTTGCTGAGCAGAGGTAGCTGGTTCAGCAGCTGTTGCCAACGTTTGACGTCCTTGGCAGGTAGTGGAGTGTCCCAGTCGAGTTGCTGAAGCCAGGTGGTCTGGATCAGGATCTTCGCCCGAATCACGACAGGTGCGAGCCAGCCCATCGGGTCAAACAGCCGTGCAGTCTCTGCTAGGACGCGTCGCTTCGTAAACTCGCTGACTACACGAGGATGTATGGCGAAGGCAAACCGGTCTTCTTGAGGATGCCATCGCAGACCCAAGGTCGAATGGCTCTCGTCGTCCCAGAATGTGGTCCTTGCTGCAGCCGGTGCTCCTGTGGGACTCCGCTGAGGACGTCCGGATTGTTTGAAGCCCACTTCCTCAGCGGAAATCCGCCCGCCATGCAGAGATTGCGCAGCTCTGTCTGGAGGTTGACGGCATCGCCGAGGTCGTCCGCTCCGGTGACTACGTCGTCGACATAGCAATCTCGCCGAAGTGCTGTGGCCCCTTGAGGAAACTGCGCCCCTTCGTCCGCACAGAGTTGTCGCAGCGTTCGGATGGCCAGGAACGGTGCACACGCCATGCCGTAGGTCACCGTCAGCAGCTCGTACTCCTGGATCTCGTTCGTTTGGTGTTGACGCCACAGTATCGTTTGAAGGCTGCAGTCCTCAGGATGTACGAGAATTTGGCGATACATCTTCTCGATGTCTGTGACGAAGACATATCGGTGCCAACGCCATCGCAGCAGCACGTCGGTGAGAGCGGGCAGCAAATTCGCCCCAGTCAGCAGATGCGAATTCAGCGAGTTCCCAGTTCGTGTCCGTTGAGAGCCGTTGAACACGACTCGGAGCTTCGTCGTCGTGCTCGCCTCCTTCAGGACCCCGTGATGCGGTAAGTAGCATCTGATCTTCTCAGCTGTTGTTGCGATATTTACCCTCTTCATATGTTGCAGGTCCTCGTATTCCTGCATGAAGCTGCGATAGAGGTCGCCAAATCGAGGGTCTCGGCTGCCCTTGGACTCCATGGCTTTCAGGAGGTGCTCCGCAGGGCGGCGAGTGTCTTGAAGAGTCGTCGGCGGTGATGCAAGAGGCAGTCTCACCATGTATCTTCCGGTGGGCGTGCGTGTGACGGTGCGCACGTAAAGCTCCTCGCACTTGGTTTCGTCAGGAGTGAGTGGAGCCTGAGATATTGGCTCGCTCTCCTGCTCCCAAAAGCGGCGAACGAGGTCGGCGAGGTCATGATCGGCGGTGCATCGGAATGTGCGGCGATGTCCGTTGACTGATGCGGCGTCGTATCCGCCAGAGAGGATCCACCCCAGGCTTGTTTGCTGGGCGATCGGCATCCTTGAATCTCCTTTGCGGAGGCCCTCCTCGAGGATCAAGGAATAGACCTCGGCTCCTAAGAGTAACTCAGCTGGGTCGTCGTCCAAAAAACGAGGATCGGCCAGTTGGAGTCCCTTGAGATGAGGCCAGCTGCGTTCTCCTCGTGAGACTGATCCTTGCTGCAGTGATATGCGAGGCAGCACAAAGGCTACCACGCTGAGCTCGGCGTTGGTCACGTCTGACGTTACGTGCAGCGTTACTTTGCCTCGAGCGGATCCTGAGCGGGTCCCTCCGATGCCGAAGATCGAAAGATCCGTCGAAACTCGAGGAAGGCGAAGGCGTTGTGCCAAGGTCTCTGAAATGATCGACACCTCAGAGCATTGGTCGATCAGAGCGCGTACGGCGTGTGGGGACCCGTACCGATCGGCGATGTTCACTCGAGCTGTTGCCAGAAGAACGGCCTTGTGATCCTGATGTTGCAGAGTCGTGGTCAGTGTGGTGGCGCGTGTGGTGGCCTCAGCTGACAGTGAAGACGTCGGTGCTCCGTGCAACATCGTGTGGTGTCGTGCGTCGCATGTGAGGCAGTTCTTCTTCGACTGGCAGCGAGATAGAAAGTGGTTGCCTAAGCAATTGTAGCAGCGCTTGCTTGTCTCTATGAACGCCTTACGCTCGTTGACTGTCTTGGCCTTGAAGTCTCGGCAGGCCATCAAGGTGTGGTTCTCGCGACACAGTGCACAGTGCGGCGGTTCAGATCCTTGGTGTTTCGTGACGTGTGCCTTGGCGATCCGTGGAGCATCTCCGGACGGTTTGCTGACGCCCTTTGGTCGTGCGGCATTGAGCGTCAGGATCCGCCGACTGATAAAGTCAACGAGTGCCTCGTTCTGTGCTGGCTCTGATGAGTCTGAAATGGACGACTCCCACTCCAGACGTGTGCGTGCATCAAAAAGCTCCGTCACCAGGAAGTTGAAGAGGTCCATCCCGTGGGAGTTTATTGGACGCCCGATGCTCTCCTGACCGTTGACGGTGGCAGTAACGGCGTTGTGGATGCGTCTCAACTCCTCTGCGGTATCTCCCTTCATCTTTGGCACGGCGATGAACGTGGCAAAGTTGGAGCGGATCAATTCTTTTTTATTGTTGTAGTGCTTGTCCAGTATCGCCCAAGCACGCTCATAATTGTCGCTAGTGACGGGTAACGACTTTATTAACTTTTCAGCCGGTCCCGTCAGACATGAGCGGAGGTGATGGAAGCGCTCGATGTTGGAGATCGCGTTGCCACTCACGACGGAGAGAAAGAGATCCCGAAACGACGGCCAATCAGCGTAAGCACCAGAGAATGGCGGTACCTTGATGCGCGGCAGTGACGACCGTGGCGTGACGTCGGCAGAAGGAGCTACGTTCGGTGCACGAAAGTGTTCGGCGTAGCCATCAAGTATGCTTCGCTGACTTACATACAGATTTTCTGTATCTGCGTGGAAATCTGATTGGAAATACTCGCTCTCACTGAATTTGTCTTTCAGGGCCGCTCGGATAAGGTCGTGCTGCGTCTCGAACTTTGCCCACAGCTGATCCAGGATTCTGGTGCGTGTGGCGATAGCACTGGTGGTGATGTTGGCGCTGCCCAGCTTCTTCAGGTACTCTACGGAGCGTGAGATTCGGATTTGAATCTCACGCTGACAATCGACCAGCGTGGACACATCCATGACGGCTGCACACCCAGACGTTCACACCTTCACTCACACGAGAAGTCACGCTCGCGAACTTGCGGTTGCCGGTGCGACGGATCCGGCTCGAAGGACCAGAAATATGTTCACGAACGCGCTGCGAGAGAAAGGATCGCGCTGCACGAAAGGATGAGTCACTCTTTGTACTAAATTGACTTTAATATTATAAAACAATTAGAAAACGAACACTTTAACAAACTTTTACAATCTTAATTAATTTACAGAGAAACTCGAAATCAAATCAAAGTGCGGAATAAGCGGCGGTCGTCAACGAATTTTTGCGGTTTTACAAATCTGCGGTTGCGTTATGCGGTTCACGGCGGAAAAGCGATAAGGCCCCGATTTCGGGTGCGAGCTCTCTTTTATGGGTTTCCGCAAAGAACCCACCTTCGTGTGAAGCGCCAATAATTTTGCGTCTTTTTAAAGTTGCGCGAGGTGACCTGAGCGTATTACGCGTAATTGGCCGCTGTCAAAATTGACAGAACAACGGTTGTTAGAAAGCATGCGCGAGCTGGAGATCACGATAATTATTGGCGAAACGAGGCGCCCGTGAGAAGCCGCGCATGCTCAATAAAATATAATTATTCGGCGGAACGGTTGCGACACCGTTAATTGTTTATATTTCGAGCGTGTTTTTGTACGACAGGATAATTTATGTCGCGATATGTTTTCCAGAAAAAAACATATAAAAAAACGATATGCCTGTTGACTTGCGATCGGAAGCGAATATTCTAGAATATTCCAATAATAAAATATAATATTTTATTACACAAGTAGTTTTCTATTATGCGTTTCAAACAAATATTTATTTAATTAATAAAAATATAAAATTATATTATGTTAAAAATTAGAATTTTTTCAATAAAATTTTAAATTAAAAAATAATAATTATCTTTCCTTTTTTTCACACACTTTTGATATTATAGAATATATTTAATTATTTTATAATCAGTTTAAAATTACAAATTAAATTACAAATTAAATTACTATAATCATTTTAACACATAAATTATTTTTATTATATATATATATATAAAAAAACAATAAGCTAGACATATATTTTTTTTATACATAATTTTAACGTATCTATTATCTCGTTGATTCCCAATGTAAACTTTTAATGCTTGCCAGAACGAACTCGTGAAAAGGCAACATAATGTTGTCCATGATTAAATACATCTTTACGAAGATCTAATCCGATTTTTTCAAATGTCTGTCCTTGTGATTTATTAATTGTCATAGCAAAAGCTAATTTTATCGGAAATTGTCTTCTAGAAAAAGTAAAAGGATATACATTTTCACAATATAATGTTATACGATTTAAAAAAATAATATCTCCTGCTTTGTCACCTGTTAAAATCTTACATTTTAATAAAAGGTCTGCAAGCTCTATAACCATTAATCTAGTGCCATTACAAAGACCTTCATTGATACTAAGATTTCTAATCAACATAATGATACAATTTGGTTTCAAACGTAATTCATGAGGAGGAAGAGATGGTGGAGATAAACTATTTAAATATTCTGGTAACAAAGCTTCACAATGTCATCATTGTCACCATTTACAGTACAGTCTATACTTGTATAAATTCGTTCACCAGTTACACCTAATAGTTCTACAACTCTTTTATTAATTTCGTCTACATCAACATTTCTTGCAGAAAGTATCGCACATTTAGTTATTTTAACAAATTCTTGTTTTCGTATTAAATCACCATATATATCTTCCACAATATCAACATTTGTAGATACTATACAACATTTAGGAATTTCTATATTATCATTTAAATCATTTAATAATCCATCTCCCATATCTAATAGAATTTAGAAAATCAATTTCCTCTGGAAGAACTCGCATATTTTGTATTAAAGAGAATTTTTTAAAATATTTCCAAGTATAACTAAATTTAATAGAAAGATTTACAATTTCACTTCGAGTAGCATGTTGTTTAACAGGCAAAAGTTGTCTGAAATCACCACCTAATAAAACAATTTTTCCGCCAAAAGGAAAGTCATTATTCATAATATCACGCAATGTTCGATCCATAATTTCTAAAGCATATCGTGGTGCCATTGGTGCTTCATCCCAAATAAAAATATCAGTTTCTTTTAAATATTGAGCTGCTTTTGATTGGATTTTAATGGAAGATGATGAATCAACAAATAATGAACGGGCAATCCAAATATCTTATGAACTGTCCTTCATTAGGAAGTAAAGTCGCTGCAATACCAGGTAAAAGCCATTGTACACACGCGTTTATTTTTAATTCTAGCTAAATGATAGATAGTTGTATATACAATGTTTTACCTGATCCTCCAGGACCATCAATATAAAAACAGTTATATTATTATTATTATTGTTAAATCTATTTAATATAATATCGATTATCTCTTTTTGTTTATCATTTAATTGTTTGTATTGGTTATTACCTACTTCCATAATTTTTTCAAATGTCATATAATCCTCTTCTTCTTCATATTCATTTAATTGTTCCATTTGTGGAAAATCAGCAAGACTTTTACCTTCAGTCTGAAGCATACTATTGATTTGGATATATGTTTTATTTTGTCCTTGTAATATACCAAAATGTCGAACGTAATCTTCAGACATTGCTACTTTAAAATTTTCCCATAATTCTTCAGGATGTAATGGCTGACAATGTAATATATACGTACAAATAATCTACGAAGTTGTCGTGGCATCATCCATTCAACAGCTTCATTCATAGCTCGTATCCATTCATCATCATCTTCGATCAGACCTAAAGCCAAACATGCTGCTGAAAATGATTGACACAATCTCTCCATTTACAGTTTTTAAGTCGTTAAAACTTGTAACTCCCTTTACTGTGAGTAATAATAATCGTAAATGAAATAATTCTGTTTGTGTTGGACTAACGGAATACATTCGTCCTACACAATTATAATGACTTTTACGTTTAGCCCAACGCGATACATTTATGCCATTAATTTTCTCCTTTTTAAATGTATAATGTTGTGGAATTTCTATGTATAGATATTGTCTTGCTTCCTCATCGCGTATGTTCAATGAGAAATAATCTATCAACATAGTAACCTGATTTAAAGCAGAAATCATAACGTCATCAATATTTTCATTTTCAATTATAATATTTTGTTCATTAGGAAGATGGACTGGCAATCGCATTATAGCGTGACTTTTATCTTGTAACTTCTTACCAAGAATACGCCAACTGGCTTCCACAGGTCCAACATAACGAGCTTCGATATAATTATGTATTTCATCATGATCAATAATTACATTTTCTGTTATTGGTTCAATAGTTACGGCAGCAACATCATGTCCTTTATATATATATTTATACAGATATTTAACTGATTTTATACTTGAAACTACTTCAACGTTAATATGACTATTAAATAAATCGATAAAGTAGGACAATATGGAACAACATAACGATTATCGACTATATATCCGCCAGGACGTTCGAAATTTTTACCATTATCTCGACGACGATAATAAGAATAAGCATTTTCATCCATTCTAGTTTCTTCAAGAAAAGGTTTTGGATAATGTTTCGAACAACATCCATCTACCAAACACCAATCACCACAAGGTCCATGAATCATATGTCTCATAACTATATCATGTAAAATACGATTCTCGCATGGATTCGGATTTCAGCAGAAATATATTTATCAACAATTTGTGGAGTTGTTATTTTAAAGTAATTAACATATGAATATGTGGTAACCACGTTTTTGAAATTCAATAACATACACAAACGCTGCTACTTCACCAAAAAATTTTTGTTTAACGATTAAATCAATTAAATAGTCCTTTTTATATTGAATACACGAGCACAAATATCAGGTCTATCAGAAGCTTGTTGACCAGGTAAAAGGTTTCCTCGATTTCTCGCCATTTTGGATTACAAGTCATGGTAATGAAAAGGTCTGGTTTACCAAATTTACTAACTATTGCCATTGCATCTTGATAATTTTGTAACATATTACGCGGCGATCCAATAAATGTTGAAGGAAGAATAATCATTTTTCCAATACGACCATTCAAGTTATTCGCCGTAGTTTGTAAGTAGTCTTTTAAACCTTGATATGTTTCACTGCGTAATTCTTTTTGATGATTTTTACAATAATCAATTCTATCTTTTTCCATTTTAACATAACTATCTACAAGCCACTGCTGAAATAAGCGACGTCCTAGTAAAAAAACGTTAAATTCATCACGAATAGCCATACGATATTTAATATATTGTCCTCTAGTTATTCGTCTATCACTATTTAATTTTTTTAAATCACGATGCCATCCTTGAGTACCATATGGATAAAACAATGGATATACCCATGGTTCAACATTT